AAAAAAAAGAATATTCCTGTGTCTAAGTTGTTTAGCAAAACATCTGTTTAATTGGACCTTCACATCTGGATCTGATATTTCACACCTGAACACCTTATACAATATGTCGTAAAATATTTCCTGATCTGATGCAGTGCTATACAATTCAACACGAGCTATTTTCCAGACAAATAGGTCTCTGAACATATCACAGCTATCCCAGTAAAGACCATGCATGCGAGGTTCTGTCAAGATATTGAGGAAGCTAGTAATGAAATATCTCTGAAGGAATAATTGAGCAGGACATGGGCTGTTTAGTCTCTTATAACATTATCCCCATAACAATAGTTCTGTGAGGTAAATTTGACCAATGGCCCAGAGTCACCCACCAAGCATTCAGGTTCAAGGTGGGCTTGAAACTTGGTTCTTATCTTAAACCCCTGTTTGGGCAGGGAATCAGACTAGAAGACTTCCCAGGTCTCTTCCAACTCTGTTATTCTGTTATTAACCAGGTAAAACCTTGCGGAGTATTTCAAGATCATCGAAGGTTGGCTGGGTGTTATCATTCTCCTTGTTTCTGACCCAGCCTTAGCAGAAACAAGAATCAGACTCCTTGTCCCCAAAAAACCCTCTTTATTTATCGCCTGTGAATTAATGGCATTCACACATTGAAAAGTCCAGGCAATAGTCCTTCAAAGGGTTAACTGCAGTAACAGACCTTATCAGTTTCTTGCAGGGGTGGGTTCCTGCCAGTTCTAACCTCTTCTATAGAAGAGGTTCCACAAATCTACAGTGCCCACATCATCAAGATAAAGAGCGAGAGGTGGAATTCTGGGAGTTGAAGTCCACAAGTCTTAAAGCTGTCAACTTTGAACACCCCTGGTTTTTTTTTTCCTAAAAGGTTAGGGGTGCAAGGTCTTGTAACTTGACAGCTTTAAGACTTGTGTGCTTAAATGCCAGAGTTTCTGAGCCAACATTTTGGCTGCTAAGCAAGAGCGTTGTTAAGTGAGTTTCACCACATTTTACAAGTTGGCCACGCCCACCTAGTCACATGACTGCCAAGCCATTCCCACCCAGTCACATGACTGGCAAGCCACTCCCACTCAGTCACATGGCCAGCAAGCCACTCCCACAAAGCAGGCCACACCTACAGAACAGGTTCTAAAAAAATTTGAAACCCACCACTGCTTCCTTGAGATAATTGCCAGGCCAGGAGCTTCCAGGCACAAAGCTGTACATTAAGTTCTGGCAAGCAGTCTTTGTGGCACAAAACACAATGGGCAAAATCTTCAGAAATAAGAACTGTTGTCTCCTACGACCACCACTCCCCTCTCCTTCTATTATTCCCCAGCCCGGGAGGTACCACTCGGTGTCCATGTGTGCCTTGCTTCCTGAGTCAGCTCCT